CGAGTGACGACAGAATGAAGAAGACCAAGAAGAAACAGAAATGACAAGAAGAGACGATAAGCAGTTTGGTGTTCAACCATTAGCGCTTTAATTTGATGGAGATGCGCTGTAGAGAAGGGGTTGATAACTCCTGCGAAATTGCCGACTCCACGGTGAGAAAGGACGTCAAAAATGACACGTGCAAATTCTGCAATGAGAAACCAAAGCGCCAATGAACAAAATTCCGCCCATCTGAATTTTGCAAGACCGTCTTTGTAGCGAATGTCTTCAGCGAGATTCATAGAAGAACTCCGATTTGCATTTTCAGCCAAGGAAGAGTTCGAAAGAACTGGAGCAGTTGTGAATCCGGGGGGGAGGGATATCAAGGAATAGGTTGGAGATGTTGGATGTTCAGAAAGAAAATCTTCTTGAGGATATTTGACCATTCCATTGTTGATGGCATGGGAGGCTAAACGGATAATGATACAAAAGAAGAATGTGAAAAATTGGAGAGAGGTGAGGGAACCCCGTTTAGTGACTTTCCAAATTAATACATCGGAAAGGAAAAACGATTCTATGAAAAACTGATTCAACGAGAGAAGGAGAAAGAGAATAGAAACAACTGATTCAACCATGACCAAATGAAATTCAAAAGAAAGTCGGTGATGACGGAGAAGAAATGTTGAAACTTGGGAGTTGATGATTCGCTTCAGTACAACCGAAACTACAATATGAGCAAATAATAGAACAATTGTGAACGCAGAAAGCTGCAATTTAGCAAAACCAATGAAACCAATGAGAAGCATGATAATGTGTGGTGTCTCCGAGGCGCCAAATAGAGCTTTGAAAGAGCTGGAGATGTACAAACATAATTCCTGTAAAAACTCCTGCAATAATGCGACCAATCCAAAATTTCTCGGCAAGTGTAAAGTCGTTATTGGTGGCTCGTATTCAGAGAACAAGTACTGGTTTGAGGGTGAGTTGGACATCTCGTAGAAGGCTTGCGAGGATTCAGGCTGTTCCAATATCATCATCATGCTCGGCGCTGTTTGAGCATTCAGTGTCAGTTGTGTGGATGATGAACCTGCCGCGATGTATTGAGGTAATGATTTTCTTGATGTTGCCCTGATGTACTGAGTGGTTAGAACGACAACTCCAGTCGCCACCGCAGGCAATAAGGATATTGAATCGCAGATGCCGTTTTCAGTTAGGCTTGTTTTCAGTAGCGTCAATGGAACAAAGGACGCTAAGAAGTAAAGGAACGCCAACGGAAGAACAATGTCGACGAGTTCAGGATTAAATTCAAGGGAAGCAGCTGAGTTGAGGCAAACTCCTTCCAAGAATGTTGAATCTCTCCTAGCATTCACTCCGCTGTTAACAATCCAATCGGCTGGTTGATCATCCGCTGAAGGTTTTGTTGGCTTCTTCCGCTTAGCAGATTCCAGTCTTCCCTCGTGATAAAATTCAGCAAGAAAAATTGAACTTAATTGAATGATTAGAGTCCCGGTCGTTATCCAGATTGGGGACCAGCCGCTTTGCAACGCCAAAAAATCGCCTGCAAGAGCTCCAAATTGAAAAATAGTAGAAATCGTTATCCATCCAAGACGCCTGAGAAACTCAAGAAATCCTGAAGGCTGCGATGGTGGTTGCTCTGGCCCCAAGCTGGTTTCAAGACCATCAGGATTTTTTCCTCCACCATCTAGAAGCGGGGCCAGCGAGGACAGCTCAGTCTCTCCAACAGCATCAGGGAACAAACCAGACATAACAAGAGGGGCCAAATTGAAGGCGCAGTCTTGGGCTTCAGAGCTGGGCAGATCGAGCGTTGAAACGGCTGATAAACTCGTGGGCGCTACATCAAGAGGAAGATTTTCCCTCCCGTTTTGTGGAGATAAAGGGAGTTCGACCGAGGAAAGGTAGTTCTTCGCAAGGAGATTGAACTCGGTTGATGAGGACGACAAGGAACGGTTTTTTTTAAGGATGTGATCGTGAGAATTTTCCATGCGATTTATTGAATGGAGTGACAAACATCTCGTTCAGCTGGTCAAATGTGAAGATGATGTGCATTGAATTTTAATACTGGTTCTGATTTGTGCTGGAATTCAGGCACGGCTACCCATAGTGGACTGGAGCTAGTAATGATGAATGACGTGAATTCCCCATTTAATCATATTGGAGCTAATGTTAGATGAGAATACCTGGACACAAAATACACGCTTTCACTTGGTTTTGGTTCTTCATTTATCATCTTAGGTTGGCGCGTCCTCCACTTCTTCTTCTTCTTCAGGATCTTCATGGGTGTCCATCGGGCTATCGATCAGCTTAGCATTAATTTGTTTCATCAAAAAGCCTAAACCGTAAGTCCGTCGAAAACAAATCACCTTGCGGGAAATACGGGCAAGGAAATTTCGCTCAGCTGACATTAACAAATCAGCGACAACCTGAAACACACCCATATGCTAGCTTTTCAGTTTTTCATTCTCACGTGTTGGAATGCGATACTTGTGAAACGGTAGAAGAGGGGATTTCCATCGTCATCCACGCCCCATCGATTGGGTACGGGCCCAACTTCTGAGACAAGCGAGTCATTAGACGAACAGCTAGCTTCATCGCTGTCTTGGGACTTCTTCAGTTTCCGTTGTCTTGCTTGTTCTTTTTGGGCAATAGCGGCAGCCCGTGCGTCGCTTGGTTGAAGAGGGACGAGGTCAAGTTCTTGGAGTTGATCTTCAGATGGAGCTTCACACGTCTCTAGCATTTCTTTTTTGATGAGATTATCGATCATTCTTTGGAATCTGAAACAATCAATCAGCTACAGATGCGCCTCATAGACACTAACGATTCAGGGGTCATCGGTCGGGGATAAACAGCTTGGAGCTCGAAACCTGTGAATGCCACTGGAAAGACGCTCGCGACTTTGGCTGCTAGTTGCTCGTCCGGTTCGAGTCGTTCCATCAAACACATTGCAGCTGCACGCTGAAACGAATCCATTCATCAAACAATTTCATAGAATCCATTCTTCATAGAAACTCACCAGTTCGGGAACAAACGGAACTCTCTTCAAGTCTTTTATAACGCGCACTCTGATCTCTTTATCCTGCTCTTCAAGAGTTTGTCTCGGTGGCATTGTCGTTAATGGTCCTGATGAGTTCTCCTTGCTGCCTAACCTTTCCAATCTGTTGCCTTGCGTTTGACACACAAAACTGGTTTCAAACGGTTCGGCAAGATCAGGTTTGAATAGAAGTTGAGCTGCGCGCCCTGAAAGAGTTTCCGGCCCTGGAGGAAGGAATGGTCTTCTCACTATCGGATGAACGCGATCTCGGAAATCATGTCCACTTGATTCCCAATCTGGTTCTTTCAGCGTGTCATCTATGCCCCGCTCTGTTGTGTACAAATCTCTTACTGGGGCTTCGAACTTCGCACGTCCATAACGCAGAAGAGAGTCCGTTCTCTGTCGGTAAGATTTCTTGAAAGCAGCACGATGTTCCAAAATCTCATCATCAGCTTTGCCGTCGAGCCCTCTCGCATCGTATTCTTCAGTTGTTGATTTTCTTAAGCCTTCTTCATCTTCGTCGTCCTGGTTGTCCCAACTCGTACTCGAACTTCGTTTTCTGGAGCGTTTCGGACGTCTCACAAATACCCCGTCAATCAGTTCACAATCGCTGCTCGGGTCAACGCGCATGATTTCTGAGACTTTCAATTCATCAATCGCTAATTTCATTTTGGGACTCTGTTGTCGAGGATCTCCAGCAGACGAGACAACACTCGGACGCCGAGCTGTGAGATCTCTTGTTGGTCCTGTTGTTGCTGGTTTTTCAACCTGCATCCGTTGCTTGAACTTGTACACGGTGATGCATTTTGATCTTCCGCCATACAACTTATCGATTCCTTCATCTTCACCTCGTTCGCTATCATCTGCGCTCGTTGCAGCATCATCTGGTATGTTCAACGTCCCTGTCAATTCTTGTGCATTCAGAACAAAGTCTTCCTTCCTCTCTGTCCCATTCAACGCTTCAGCTGCAGCATCATATATCGGATGAGTCAAGCTAAGCGAAGGCTTTGGAGGATGGAGATTCAAATTCACGATGCTTCCATTTCGTTCTAAGATCGCATCTCTCTTGCTCAGATTTCTGACCCCCCATCCGACTTCCTCAATGAGGATTGCCTGCTCATCAAGCAATTGCCGGGCTGTCAAATAAATATACTTTGGTGTTCCTGCAGATATCCGATAAACGTATTCAATCAATTCATCGGGAAGTGACAATCGCTTCACATTCAGACAATGTGCCAAATAGGAACCAGTTTCCACGGGGGATAATCTTCCTGATAGGAGCAAACAAGTCATCATCATAATCGAAAAATCTCAACAACTCACTCATCTGAATCAAACAACCTGATTCTCTCGCCCATTCGATGATTTCTTGTTGTTCTGGAACATGGCCCGTCATTTCACTATGAGAACAGACAAATCGAGATCAAGAGAACTTCAAAGTCTTACCTGCACACGAGGACAAAAACAAATGGAGGAAAGTATTTCGAGGGTGGTGGCCTGCATTTGGCCGTCCACTGCGGATAGCAAGGGTCTCCCTTTAAGTTGCGCCAGGGTTCGGGCGTCCCGCGACACCACAGACAGCCGCGTGAATGTTTGCGACGCCATTTTTTCAATTCTTTCGTATCAAGCTCGATCTTCCGACGACGTCGCATCATGGCCACTCTTCCCACGAGCCGCGCGACTTTCCACGATTCGCTATCCATCTAAAAGGAAAATCAGTCCGTCAGATGTTTGAATCTACACGAGTTGAAACTTTCGATCACTTACTGAGGCGAACAACGACGTTCCGGATCGGACATGTAGGACAACAACCGTACACTCATACATCGAAAATCCATTAACGAGACTAGAAATAACAGGAGCTAGTGATTGCTCATCGTATTGATTCGTGAAGGAGGGGAGATAAGGGTTCGAAGACTTTGACCGGTCGTCATCTTTAGTTTCATCATCAGACACTGAAAGGAGGGAGATTGAATCAGCTGGTTGCCATTCCTAACGTACAATCTAATGAATGGTCGTCTCGCTTCAGAGCCGCAACAAAATGGGACGCTTTCTTGAAGACATTCCCAAGTCCATGTTTCATTATGGCTTTCCTTGATTTGAATGCTGACTTATCCCTTTCTTGATGTAACAACTGATTCTCGGGTACTTCATATGGAAGCATCAGACCATTAATCACAGATTTCATCTCATGAAGACGCCTGCAAAATATTGTACACCATAGAATTTCAGTTAAGCCTTACCAGTGAAACAAAGGATGAATCAGCTCTTTCGCAAGTCCATAAACTGAGTTGTCACGATCTACCTTTGAATATCCTTTCGTGTCCCTTGCTGGTGACCATCTCCACTGCGTAATCATTTCTGTACATAATTTTCTCCAAGCGAGGAGAGGGACATTTCCAATATTAACAAACGTAGAATCCGGCTACACATAATGACGACAAACAAATAACAGAAAAACATCGTCATCTTCTAAAACGCTTTCAACAAATGTTGATGCTGACTTTAGACAGTTTGACAAACCATCTAGAAGCCAATTCTATCTTCGAGCTACTTTGTTGCACATTACTCACCATATTACTACACAAAAAAATCTTTCTCCCCAGATTTTTCGACAATTGTGAAACGTATTCGACAAGATCTGTGGCTCCCTCAGTCTCCTTCCCTACAATCACAGCGACGCCCCCAATATCGATTGTCGGTCTCAGAGAAGGCAACCAGGGGTCGATGTACTCCCAAGGCAACAACGGCCCGCACTTGAGAGGAAAGTCCAATGGCGGTTTATCAAAATCGAGAATCGGTGATCGATACTCGTATCCAGGAAAGAGGAGCTTGTAGACTCGACGCTTGTATTTCCAGCGCGTCCACGTCGAAATTGGTTCCTACAAGTGGACTTTTGCATACTTGAAGTCCACTTGACAAAAACTTACACCAGTTGTTGTTTGGAGGATCGCTTGTCGTCTCAGCTGACCCATCGGCTGGAAAACAGGCACAAGATTGGATTTTCCTTTCATTTTCACTGGCGGTAATGCACGAAAATCCATTACACGCTCGCACAGGGATTTCGTTTCCAGGTCGCAATTAATTTCATTGCTTCGCGCCTTCCCCATGAGTCGTGCTGCCAGGTTGACTGTGTCACCCATTGCCGTGTATTCTTTTCTCAGATTGCAACCGACAGTTCCGCACCAGACGCGGCCCGTTGCTACACCTATTCCAGCGGTGAGTCCCAAATCCTTCAGTCCGTCTACCACTCGCAGCGCAGCCATTACAGCTGGAAAACGAAACACGTTTGTACAATAATTTGGTTTCTATGATTTCCATACCTCTAAGCGCGTCATCCAGATGATAAACGGGAGGGAGTCCAAACATGATCAAAATTAGAACTCCCTTATCGTCAACTAAAAATTTGTTCACAGAACCCTCCTGTAATGGAACGTTACAGATCGTTGGTGCGTCGAATCGCTTACCATCGTGTATGCTGCCTTCTGAGTGT